TGCACCCCTTCTGCCCCACAGCTGTGGAGCTTTTTCCCTCCAGATGCCTCCCAAAAGCCATGCATGAAGCAATTCAGAAATGCTTCAAAACATCTTTTTCTTTGGGTTAGCTAGCTGTGCCCAGGACTTATCAGGGAGGTGGACTTTACATGTTTTAATAATGTTTTTTTAAAGAAGAGAGAGAGAAGATTTCATGTATTACAAGTTACCCAAATAAGAGCGTCATATATGAGCACCAAGGTAACTTAGAATTGAGTATGATAATACTCAAGGCTAATAATTGAAATAAATAAATCAAAATTATTATGAGAGACACTCAGATATTTTAATCCCTGCTCTGTATCATTGCCTCTGAGCTGCCCTTTGAAGTTACCTTTTGCTATAAATGTTTGCCTGCTGTCATTATTCAGAAGTGTATGGCATCGGCCACACCAAGAACCTGGCTCCAGAACAAGTTCAGCAGTCTCCCAATGTGAATTCCCTGGTACGTGCATTCAGTCAACAAAGGGAAAAATGGAAATCCAGGTGGTAGGTGGGTGGTGAAGATAGCTCTGAGAGAAAATGAACTTTAAGCACCCTACTTTTGCTCAGTTGCCATCTTGCCACATGTTTATGGAATTTACATGCCAAAAGCTGGCTTTGGTCGCCTCAATAACCAGATCAATTTGTACAAATCTATAAAGACCTTTGTGAAGTCAGATGACAGATATATAGGATTTTTCAGAATAAATGCAGCAAACAATTCAGAGAGGGATGACCTGCTGAGTAAACTATTAATATTTATACAAGGATGCCACAATGATATATATGAATAGGAAGAATGACTAGTATCCAAAGGACGTGTTGAGCTTAGATTATTGTCAACAGAATTCCTAACAGCATAACATTTCCTCATACGAACATCAGGTCCTAAAACTTGGGCAATTCCTGTCTTAGTGCGTAAAGCGTCTTTGTTGTGCTTTTCCTCTGACAAGTGTTAGGATTCTTTGTTTCCCACAAAATAAGGATGTGAAGTAAGTCTTTATACATAGCGCTGTGTTGGCAAACAAAAAGAGTGTTTACTCCAGTCCTTACTGCCAAGTATGAGGTACTTCGGCATGAACATCAAAAGCACTGAAATGAGTATTAGCTGATTCTTAAGAAACGTGAATAATGCTATTGCTTGCTTGTTGTTGTTTAGTCGTGTCTGACTCTTCGTGACCCCATGGACCTGAGCACGCCAGGCACTCCTGTCTTCCACTGCCTCCCGCAGTTTGGTCAAACTCATGCTGGTAGCTTCGAGAACACTGCCCAACCATCTCGTCCTCTGTCATCCCCTTCTTCTTGTGCCCTCCATCTTTCCCACCATCAGGGTCTTTTCCAGGGAGTCTTCTCTTCTCATGAGGTGGCCAAAGTATTGGAGCCTCAGCTTCAGAATCTGTCCTTCCAGTGAGCACTCAGGGCTGATTTCCTTAAGAATGGATAGGTTTGATCTTCTTGCAGTCCATGGGACTCTCAAGAGTCTACTCCAGCACCATAATTCAAAAGCATCAATTCTGTGGAGATCAGCCTTCTTTATGGTCCAGCTCTCACTTCCATACATCACTACTCGGAAAACCATAGCTTTTACTATACGGACCTTTGTTGGCAAGGTGATGTCTCTACTTTTTAAGATGCTAAAAAGATTGCTTGCTAGAAAGAAGCAATTGGTCAGCCACAAAGTTGTGAAAGGAGGCAGAAGAGTGGAACAAGTTCAGAAAGGAAGGTAACCCACTAGGCTGCTCCACATGGCTTAGGTGTTGATCATTCATCCTGAAGTTAGAGTATGTCCGGAGCTTTATTGAACATTCACTCTGATTTGTTTATACAACAATGAGCATCCAACTGGATGTGTGCAGTGGTTATGCACTATGCGTTTCAATACATTTTGCCCATTGCTTTCCCAACTGCAGAGAGTCTGTGTTGTTGTTATAAGTGGATTTGTTGTGCGAGGCTGACATTTAATTGTGTAGACCTAATTTTCCAGTATGTGCTTGAAACCCTCTCTCAAAGTCATGATCCTAACTTTGGTAAAATCAGAAAACTGGGATTCTGTGTCTTTTTGTAGGGAGACTTGCAAAGTTCCTCAACCTGTCACAAAAGTAAAGATTATCCAGGAAAAGATATTTCCTACTCTAGGTTGGGATATAAGTCTTCCAAGACCAAAGCAAAGGTGGGAAAGCACATTGTTCAAAGCTGTATAAGGCAACCAGCTTTAATGCTATTGTGGTGGGTTTCTCCTTGATAAGTTTCTTTATTCCTTTGTGACTTAGGCTCACATTAACAACACAGCTACAGGTGTGTGGGGACTACCGTACTTCTGTGTGGGAGAATCAGGGTAAATAAAAATAAGTGGATTTTTTTAAAGCACATCTTTAAAAAATAATTAGATTGTAACTTTTGTTCAGATTTCAGCTATAAGTTTTTCTTTTTAAAAATAACCTGGTTTAAAAATGAAAGCAAAAATAGAACTTCTTAAAACTAAATTTATGACCTTACAAATTCATGAAAGGCTGCTTTAAAGGAAAGAAAGAAAGAAAAGTGAGGGAAACATTTTCACCAGTCATTAATAAGTACAGTAGTTCATGCATTTATATTCTGGGTTGATAGTGGGGTTCAGGAACTTGAAAGACAACACATGTCATCCAGTAATCCGTCTGAGTGCATGTGATGGGGGACCATTTTTAAATTAAAACCATATCTACAATATCCATCTCATATCATAGATGCAATTAGCTGAGGGAATCGGCAGAAGCAGATAGGGTTTATGCCTCATTCTGCCCTCAGGCTTCCTTGATCTAGAATGGCTCTTGCAATACCCACATACCACAATCCTCATAATTCAGTGCATTAACTTGTTTAGGAGTTTTACCCAATTAAGGGAAACTTTTTTCCCCGTAGTGACATGGCATTTACTCATAAAGTGATGATGTCACTCTATGAATTCTTTTGCCTATTGCATCTAGCATTCGAATATGTTTCCTCAAGAGTGGGGAAACATCAGGCTTGTAGGATCTTTTCATTTTGTTTTGTTTTTTGTGTGCTAAGGTCCCGCAGCACCCGCCGTCCCAATCCACACAATAGACATGACACAGTGTATTGGGATCAAATAAGGCCACAAATTTATTGCTTACAGGTGTCAGAGGTCTGGCCTAAGCATTGGGTTCTGCCAAGGACTTCCAGGTCCACCTGCTGGAACTAAAACCTGGGTCAACCCAACAGCAGATGGAGGGGAGAGAAACCTATGACTTACATCAAATAGGAGTGCCACCTGCTTTTCCTAAGGAGTGTTGTGGCCCCTGCCTGAGCATTTGGACAGACAAAACTCCTCCTGGATCCCTTTAATGGGGTACCCATTACTCAGAGGGGCAGGCAGAGGCTACAGCTTCCCCTCCAGCCAAGACTAAGGCTTACCCAATGCCTAAACTGCCAAGGTTGTGGTGATTGCTATGAAGTAGGCAAACATCGTGAGTCGTGGGGCAATTTGCCTGATGGAAAAATTCCTGCCCACTCTCAAATATGGCAGCCAACAGCATCCATAGCAAGGTCCAGCATGAAAAGAAAGCAAAAAAACAGAGAGGGAGGATGGGAGATCTGCTTTTCCTAACAGTATTACTAGGCATAATTTAGAAAAGGGCCCATATGAGGATCAGTTTTGCTTTCCTCGTCTCCCCCACCCTATGAAAAGAAACATGGAGGGTACATTGATTCCTCCCCTTTTTAAAAAAGAAAAAAAGAAAAGAAATTCCATAATTGAACTCTTTGGTTTATGGTGAGATTTAACCATTTCTGCTAAAACGGTAATTAAAGACATACTCCTGGGCTGTCACATTCCCTTTCCTTCTCCCCCAAGTTACTGTATACAGACCAAGGGCAGTGCAGGGGCTTCACTGGCCCTCAGTTAGAGCACGAAGGAGGGGTCTTGACCTCTGCTTCACTGAATTTCATTGCCTGCTAGTTTAGTACAGAGAGATGAGCAGCATCTCCATGCAAAGCAAGCAAGCAAGCACCTCCATGTGCCACAAAATAGCAAAAGGCAAGGATGTAATTGGGCTGGATTTAAAAAATGTTCATGAACAACCCCACAACCCCATTTTGGCTTACCTTCGATTGGGATAGCTGAATACTTCCCTTGTTACTCAGTATTCCCTTAATACACCTTTACCTTCACTTACGAATGCCACCTCAGCTGCATGAAAATATGTGTTGTAATTGCACCTGGTATCTGTGAGTTCCACAGATCAATTTTTTTGCTACACAAAAACAAGCAAGCCAAAGCTCATTGCAGGAAAAGTCTGGTGTGTGTTGGGGCTTGTGTGTGTGCTCTCCATGCTCTCCCATGCTGACAGATGGTTATTTGCTCCTCAATTTCTGAAATGTAGTTTTGGGAGCCTTAGATACTGTGAGACAATCCTTCCCCCCCCCTTGTCTTTTCAAAAGTAATTACTGTTCATATAGTTCCAACCTCCGTGCTGAGATCTTTCTGCACAAGACAATAACTTTCTGAAATCTTTCCCCGTTACTGCATGCATACCGCAGATGCTTAGTAACCTTTCCAAGCATGCTGTTACACTTGTCATGCAAATAGAGGATAATTAATTATCATGCCTAGAGTGTGACATTTACTGTGCAAGGGTTCTTGAGACTTCAGGCCAACATCTTTAACTAGTTCCAAGCAGGGTAGTCCAATCATTGGCTTTTGCCATAGTGAGCGCTCTCAGTGAATGCCTTTGTGACATAAAAGATAAATGCGGGAAACCTTTTTCCAGGTGTGATTTCTGTCGCTTGACTGGGATGACGGAATATAAACGCATGCCAATTGTCTCTTTTGTGAGGTTAAAAAGTTACATAGGGTTAACACATAACTGTTTCCAACTTGGCAGAGGAGGGGGATGTATCCTCAAACGGTTGTTGCTTCTTTAATCTATTTGTTCTGAATTCCTTCTTTTCTATCTTTCTTCCCCTCTTCTTGTCGCCCACAGTTCCACCAAGTGAAAAGAGTGATGACCATCCTTTTCCTTACTATGGTTATTTCATACTTCAGTTGCATGAAAGCTGCCCCAATGAAAGAAGTGAGCATCAGAGGACCAGGCAGCTTGGCTTATCCCGGTCTCCGGACACAGGGAAACCTGGAGAACCTCGGCGGGCCCAATGACGCCTCCAGAGGATTGACGTCCTTGGCGGACACTTTTGAACATGTCATAGAGGAGCTCCTGGATGAGCAGCAGGTCATCCAGCCCAGCAAGGAAAATAAGGATGCCGACTTGTACTCATCTCGGGTGATGCTAAGCAGTCAAGTGCCTTTGGAGCCACCACTGCTCTTTCTGCTTGAGGAGTATAAAAACTACTTGGATGCTGCAAACATGTCCATGAGGGTCCGGCGTCACTCCGACCCGGCTCGCCGCGGGGAGCTGAGTGTGTGTGACAGTACGAGCGAGTGGGTGACGGCGGCCGAGAAAAAAACGGCGGTGGACATGTCAGGGGCAACTGTCACAGTCCTGGAAAAAGTCCCGGTACCCAAAGGCCAACTGAAGCAATATTTTTATGAGACCAAATGCAACTCCAAGGGTTATACGAAAGAGGGCTGCCGGGGCATAGACAAGAGGTACTGGAATTCCCAGTGCCGAACTACCCAGTCTTATGTGCGAGCTCTCACTATGGATAACAAGAAGAGAGTTGGATGGCGGTTTATAAGAATAGACACTTCCTGTGTTTGTACACTGACCATAAAAAGGGGAAGATAGTGGATTTGTGTTGTATAGATTATATTGAGACAAAATTTATCTATTTGTATATATACATAACAGGGTAAATTATTCAGTAAGAAAGAAAAAATAATAATTTTATGGACTGCATGTATAAATGAAGTTTATACAGTACAGTGGTTCCACAATCTATTTATTGAACATATCCATGAGCTAAAGAGGAACAAGACAGAAAGAGAGAGAGAGAGAGAGATAAATTCATTTGCGCACAACTTTGAGAAAAAAAATGCATTACATTCCTCTAACATTGTGGTTTGTTGCTGTTGCCAAGAATTGAAAACTTAAAAAAATTAAAAAAATAAAATTGCATGCTGCTTCAATTGTGAATTGATGATAAACTGTCCTTTCAAAAAAAAGAAAATGAACCAAAACATTCCGTTTACATTTTAGACAGTAAGTATCTTGATTCCTATTAGTATTATATCTGTTTACTGCTTTTAAATTCTTCTGGTAGCGTTGGAATTAAAACAATGTCAAGGTGCTGTTGTCATAGTTTTACTGTTGATTTTTTTTTTTTAATTTTAAAATTCCCACATGGTTTTAAAAAGAGGAGATTACTCCCTGTCATCACCGTATATGTTCTGGATAAAACAAATTTGGGGTTTTTTTGTATGTTGTGAAGGTGTTTGCAATATCAAATCAGACTACTGAAAAAAATAATAAAAAAGGCAACTGAAAAAGACAGTGTTGATGTTCCTCCCAGTGCTCTTTTCTAATCTACAGGCAGCACTTTTATGTTTGTCTAGGTGTGGTTTCTATTCTATGATTGTTGCTTTAAAGACCTGCCTTTTGCTTGTTTTGTATTTTGGTTGTTCTGGGGTCCATCTGCCCCCCAACACTTTTCCTCTCTTAGGAAGAAAACAAATTGCATTCTCTTTCAAACATATTCCCCCCATTTTCCTTGGGTGTTGAGAACAAAGATGATTGCCCCAACCTAGGAAGGGAGATCTGCATACACAGCTGGTGTGGATTCCTCAGGATCTTTCGCCAGGCTGCACTGAGCTTGGTGAGGATGGAGAATCTCATCACCATCCTCTCGTTGTATGAGCGGAGTCGGTTCAGGGAGAAGTAGTATTTGTGTCTGGATTAACTATCCCGTTGAAGTACAATTACCAAATCTTGGCAAGAAAGAAAGAAAAGGGAAAGAATCACATGAATATCAGATGGTACTTTAGCAAATACATTTGGAATGCCACAATGCTGTAACCTATGGATCCAGACGGTCTACAGTTGTGTTGGCAACGGAAGGATTAGCAATCGCTACTGAAAAGAACTGCACAGAGAGACAGTGAAGCAGTAAAGGCTTCCCTGTGCGAGTAAATATATGCAGGGCAGCCAGATGCTCTTATTGTAAAAAAGAATGTCTAGTATGCCCCGGTTCTCAAATACCTGCTACTTTTTCTACTTGAGATAATATGACAGAATCCAGGCCTGAAGGAGTGGCTCTGGAATCAGGTAGGCAGAGCCTTCTACCTCAAAACCCAACTACCTGTTTCGTCTAAATATGTCTGCAACGGTCTATGGCTTTTTGAGAGGTAGCACACAATAGCCTTATCTTCTACAGGCAAGATAATCCTGTAGAACCATAGCTCTTGGTTTAAAAGGAAATCCTAGGATGCAATCCTGAAATCAGTTGCATGCACTTTAATTAAAGGTAACTCCAGTGGTACTCTTAAGTAAGTAACTGAGCACAGGACTGATGCCTCTGGCCTTGGAGAATTATCAGCAAATCCAGCACAACCTGCAACACAAATAGCCAATGACTACATTAGAAATGCCACAGCAAGAGCGTGACCTCTCACGAAATACATTCGGTTTTTTGTTTTGGCATGCATCATATAACCCACACGTTGCAATGCAGACAGTGTCATTTATCAAGGGATAGTTGCATGTATATTTCATAGTGACGATGCCTGCTTCCATGGGTGGGGTCCAATGTTTTGCTAAACAGAGATCTTTGCTTTGATGTAGGCCTAGTTTTTCGAAAGTGGTAGATAAGGTAAATCTGTTTCTGGACTGAACCATTTCAAACTGAAAATGAAATACCCCCACCTCCCCAGAGTGGGGAGGCAGTCGTGTCAGGGAGAAGGCTAGGCTACAGCCCTTCTCCTTTGACATCTAGTTTTCTATGTGAAGGGGGAAAGGAGGCATTCAATTATATGAATCTCCACCTGCAGTCTAAAGTAGTACAGTCCAGAAATTAGTTTACTATTTCATGTGCTATTTGTTTGAACTAGGCTATAAATAAAAACCCAACCTTTCTTGGGTGATATTTCACTAGAAGACTCAGGCCTTAAGATAATGTGTCTTAAAACACCACAATCCAAAAATAAGCTCATTTCAGATCCTGGGATTATTAATTTAGCAGTAGAAATCAGTCCCTCATTTCATTAATGGTCAGTTTATGCAGTTATCAGAAGTAAAAATTGGATGCAAACAAACTTAGCGTATTTATTTATTTTATTTATAGAAAATATCAAAGCTTTTCACCAACTTCTAATACGGGAAGAAGAAGGTTGGTTGTGGGATATTACAAATCTATTCACTCTCCTTGGACATGTGTTCACTGTTGAAAAACAAAACACTAACCCAATTGATTAACGACAGTATGCAGGTAGATGCTTTGCCATTAATCAACTCTTGACTGCCCAAGGCTGGGCAAATAAATGGTTGTTACCTTAAAGGAAAGCAGATGCTGTCATTGTCCATTTTTAATAGGCAATCCAACTGGAGCTAAATCAGCCTTTCAGCCCAATGGCAATCCCTTTATTTAGCTTTAACCTGCATCCCAGGCTATCTTCACCACAAAATCCTAGTAGACATTTAATATAAGACATATAACTTAAAGGCGGGGAAAATATCTGGGTTACATTAATCCATGCATTTGGAATGGAAAGTCTTTGTAAGATTGTGTTATAAGCAAGAAGCTGCTTTTGTTCACACTTTTGAAAGTGGAAATGGAGGGGAATCATTGTCATCCCTCGGTGATGTTTTCTTATGCAATGAGAAAATATGATGATCCTGATTTCCTTCAGATCCATTAGGCTAGTTCCCTGCTTTATGGCTGTTCCTAACTTTATGTAGCGAAACAGTGTGCAGACTTGTTCTCAAACCATTTCCGCTGATATAAATGAATTCCCTTCCAGCCCCACTGTGTATATAACTAGGTCAACATCCTCACTCAGTCCTAACTAAAGCCTGTCACCTAAATTCCCACTAAAAAATTGCAGTGGATCATTATTTAGAGTCATGCAGTTCACAATTTAAACAAAGGGGAAATCTGAAAATAAGGTAACTATTGCATATCAGATATACTATACTAATTTAGCCTATATAAAAGACTCTTGGAATAGATGTGATCTTATATCTGGATGCATAATATTGGTCTCTGGCTATTTTTTAACTCACAAGGAAAGAAAATGATTTTTGCTGTAATATAATCCACCAGCAGAACAGAACATAGAAATGTTTTTGTACATATCCAGAGTGAATCAGCTTTATAATAGCTTTATCCCTGTTGGGCATCGTATAACATAGGATTAAAAATTAAATAAAATCAGATTTAGCCAGTCCTATTCCTAATAAACTGGAGAATCCTATTCCGTTAGTGGACAATGACTGATACAAACCCAAAAGATTGCAGCCTTCAAACAGGATAATTTAAGGCTCACTGTCTCCAACCACTATAGCAGATCTACGCAATTCCATGGGCTTACTGTGGAATCACAAGTTTGAGTATCACAGATTGAAAGCTACATGAGAATGTAATTCGTATATCTAGGAATACTAAATTTTTATTTACAGTTGTACAGTACACTGTAAACACACAAACAACTACAAATCATTATTTGGATGCAGAATCTGCTATGCAACGAATCAATATAGCCCTAGCTTTTGTAAACTGAAACAAGCACTATTCTTAACACCCATTCTATGCCAGACCTACTACTACAAAATAAATACATGATCACAGGCTTGGCAGTTTTAGTTGAACTGGGGTTTCAAAAATGTCACTCAATTGATTTTTATTTTATTTTTTATTTTTTTGCTGTGATCTGTCTGTGACAAAAGTATTTCATGCATGTCTTTGGCCCTATTGTTTTGTTAAAAAAAAAACCTCTTGCAAATGTAAGTTAATGTCTGTGGCCTTGTTCTCTCTTATTCACCATGTGTAACAAATATTTATTGTATATTTATATAATTTTATGGGATTTTTGGAAAAAAATGAATCTGGCATTAAATCTTACAAGCATCTGCGTCACATTGTAAATAAAATTAAGCTATATTTAAGTGTACTGATTAACATATAATATATGTTTAAATATAGATTTTTATGTTTTTTAAATATATTTTCAATATATATATATACAGTATATATAAACTCGGGTTTTTTGGGACCATGTGACTTTTCTCTAATTGTAAACCAAACATGAGTTTTACAATGAAGATGTGTGTTCTTTTTTTCCCCCAAAAGCAAAATCTACTTTTATTTTAACAATAAAATCTTCTTGGTAAGGCAGCTAGGCAGCTGTTTCATATTTGGACAGTTGGCAGGGGAGGGGGAGTTGCAAGAGGTCCTTTTCCACACACACACAAAGAAAGGATTCCCCCGCTCCTCCCAGAATAATTCCTAGCAAAACTAGCATCCATGGATCAAACACCATGATTTTCATTCAACTATAAAACAATGAACAAGTCTAACTTTGTATATATCCATATAAAAAAACTGAATCATGTATGTGAATACATGATGCCCGGATCTGATAGCTCCAGAAAATATTTAAAGGCTCCAATGTACCGATTCTGCTCTGTGCAGTTCTGAGCTGCTCAATTTGTTCAGCAATAAAGACCAATCTGCTGACATAAAAGAGTTCTTCCTTGCTCTGCATCAGCACTCCCTAGAACATAGGTGGGGAATCTTTGCCCCTCCAGACTCCCATCAGCCTGACCAGCGACAGGGATATAGGCTTTCCAACTCTAGAACTTTGGCAAAATGAGCCATCATTGTTAGACAGATCATGCACTGAATTTTTTGAAAACTGAGACACTGATCAGCTTTTATATCCTTTTCTGCATTTTTAAGGTAATTGTACTTACAGAAAACCTGCCATTTAAGAATGCAGGATGGAGATCACATGGCTAAAGGTGGTACCCCATCAAAAAGTCCCTGCTTGTGGAAAGTTAGAATTTCAGAATCAGTTTCCAACCTGTGCTTTTTCAATATATAGGACTTCACTCTGTGCAGAGAGGTTGTTGCTGTTGCTTTTTGTTCTTTTATACATAGCAGTGCAACCTCCCCACAAGCAAGCTGAAGTAGTACAGTCCTATTAAGCAATCAATTATGTGTAGTTTGGCCTTACGTACTTTTTCTGTGGAGGATGGGAGGGATGCAGGTGATGTATTCATGCCGTGTTCACATGATCATCTGCCAATCACACCTGTCACTAAGAAATCTAGGATAACAGGAATTTCTGACAAGGTTACAAGTCATTACAGCTGTCCAGTGAAAATGATGGTTATACACCCCCAGCTTGAATTGTACATTACTGAACATACTCGTAGCATCACTAAAAAGATATGTTTCTGCTATAACTGCCAAGCCTTTGTACACTTAATGACATTACAGTCCTGTAATAATAAAATAAATCTTAATGATAAAAAATTGAAGCTCAGTTAAAAAAATTGAAACCACATTCCCACCCCACCCCCAGATGCCAATAATTTGTTCAGGAGTATCCAAAAATCAGTACACATCCTTCTTACATTTCCTGGTTTAAAAAGAGGGTAACAATAGTGGCGCATGAAACTGTTCCAGTGTGTAGTTCAATAACTGGAATAATGTAATATCTAACTTTTAAAGACATACTTCTGGAGCAGGTTTAGGGGTATGGGGTTGCAAGGGGGAGGCGGGCTCCATTCACCCTACATGCAGGCTCTGTGCATGGCCTCCTTGTTTGCGCCCCCATACCAACTGCCCAGTCCACCAGGGAGGCATAACACTTGGCCTGCCCTGGGTGCCAGCAACCCACACTACACTGCTGATCGCCAGCATCTCCAGTTCGGACTGAGAATGTGAAACCCTGGAGATCCATTGCCAGTCAGTGTTAATAAAAAGGCAGGCCAATGGATTGAATTGGTATAAGGCAGTTTCCTCTGTCCCAATGACATTAAGGTTTTTCGGAGATACACAAATGGCACATCGTAAGAGAACGCTGTGAACTGCAAACATATGTGGTCTTCAGCCAGCATCTTCCCCATAGCTGAGATCATGCTCTGCCACCAGAGGGAAGATGGAAAAACCGATTGTATCCTCCACACCAAAATTCAGGATATCATTCAAGAGCTGGCTAACATACAAATACAGTTAAATGGCAGGGCAGGAAGATGGTGATGCACATCCTGTTAGCGTTTATAGGAGACCATTTCTGCACATGTTCATTTCCTATTACTTCCCTTTGCCTCTCTCTCCTACCTACATGCTTTCTGTCATACTTGCATCAAGCTCTTCCTGGTACTCAGCTGGGTGTCTCCCTGTCCTTCGATTTCATCCTCCAGACCCTCTTCTTTAACCTAGCCATGCCTTGCTTCTGCTTCTACTGATACATGCAAAACTACTCCTTCCCTATGTAGTCCCTGTAAAGTCTTCTTGGCAGGGACTAGATCTGGTCTGTATTCTAAGGTGTTCCCAACATGTTGCAAGCACCAAGTACACATCAAGACATTCAACATGGAGTCCTGCTAGTACAGAGATCAGAACAACAGTCTTTTTGACCCATCCTAAATCAAAAAGTTGGGACGTGGGTGGCGCTGTGGGTAAAAGCCTCAGCGCCTAGGGCTTGCCGATCGAAAGGTCGGCGGTTCGAATCCCCGCGGCGGGGTGCGCTCCCGTCGTTCGGTCCCAGTGCCTGCCAACCTAGCAGTTCGAAAGCACCCCCGGGTGCAAGTAGATAAATAGGGACCGCTTACTAGCGGGAAGGTAAACGGCGTTTCCGTGTGCGGCTCTGGCTCGCCAGAGCAGCGATGTCACGCTGGCCACGTGACCCGGAAGTGTCTCCGGACAGCGCTGGCCCCCGGCCTCTTGAGTGAGATGGGCGCACAACCCTAGAGTCTGTCAAGACTGGCCCGTACGGGCAGGGGTACCTTTACCTTTACCTTAAATCAAAAAGTTATCAACCTGCTTGGAATAGACAACTTCTGTTGCTCTCCTGCCATTGGAAAATGACATAAATTCACAATGGAGAGGGTTGTTATATTTAGAAGTATGTCTCTTACTTAAGAACCCAAGGCTTTTTAGCTTCACTACAGCTATAAATAGAGAGTTCAGCAATATTCTCACATCTTTCTCACTTCAAAAAAAGAGAGAAAAAATTCCTTTGACCAGTAATAAATTAATCCCTTGCTTATATAGTGGTGTCTTTTTTAAAAAAAAATGGATCTCGTATCAACATTTCAGATCTTACAGAATCTAAGGAATGTAGCAATTTCAAAGCAAAAGCTCAAAGTGACACACAAAATTGTTCTTTCTTTGACTTCTACATTATTCAGGTCCTCTATTAATATAGAGAACCCTGCTGTATCAAGCAGTATTCTCAGCTCAATTAACAACTTTGACTTACCAAATGAGATTTACAATTAACAAACTATCTTGACCCGTTAGTTTAAATGCCATTTCATTATACCACTGGGTGATTGCCAAAATATAAATTTCATGAAACGTGTGAGAGGCAAAGTAGATTCTTCCTTCTCCCCTCTACCCCATGAAATTGCTCATAGGTCCCCACTCTTTTACCAATATTATCCATTCACCAAATTTAATGTTTGAGGGACAATAATGAGACATTCTTGCTAGCTCCTCTGCATTTATTGAACTCACCTCCACACAGTACAGGTATGCTGCCTACTATCTTAATTCACTGAGGACTATTTTGAATTATGCATTATCTTCCATGAAGTTCTGAGACTTAAACAAAGACTGAGAAATCTTATTTCAGTGAAGCTACTTGCCAAGTTT